ATAAAACATTTAAAAAAAAAAGTACGAGGAGATACTGAATGGTTTAAAATCAAGAAAGATCGCATCCTTTCACCATAGTTATTCCACGAAGGTGGATTATATGAAGAAAAATGTGGTATTAGTATTGGGGAAAATCAAATGACAATTATTGCATTAGGAAAATCTGCAGCAAAAGACCTCTTTGAAGTATTAAAGAGTAAAGATGTCAGTTTGAGGATTAAGTTGCAAAAAACAGCTAGTAAGTAGACCTTGGATTCAAAACAGGTCTAATTCTAGAGCCTGTGCTATCTCCTATTTTAGTTGATGTTGTGAAGTGTCATCGAGTTGATTCCAACCCATAGCAACCCTGTATAGGTTTCTGAGGAGTGGCTGGTGAGCTTGAATCACCGACCTTGTGATTCAAACTGACTTTGCAGTCCAGTGCATTAACCCACAGTGCCACCATCTTAAGCTCACATTCCCCTCTCCATCCTTACATAAATTCAGGAGACTTAAGGGTACATCTTTAAAAGTTGACTAAAACTTAATCAGAACTTAATTATTGTTTAATGCTGTCGAGTCAGTTCCCACTCATAGTGACCCAGTATAGGATTTCCAAGCAGCAGCTAGAAGTTCAAACCAACCTGTGGTTCAAACCCACATTGTATATCAGCACATTAACCCACAGCACCACATCAGGACCCCTAATCTATTGTACTGTGTTATCTCTGAGATAACCCTCAGGCTCAGCTTATTTCAAGTTTTGGTGTGTCAGCCAGCCTATTGCTTCATTTAGGATTCAAACAAGGACCACTCAAATTTTTAGTTAGAAATTACAGATTTAATATTTTGAAAAGGTGTAATAGAAAACAATAATAATAATTTTTAAAAAACCAACAAGCAGGCATACTGATATTCATAACAGGAAAGATTGTTGTTGTTAAGTGTCGTTGAGTCAGTTCCAACTCACAGCCACCCTGAATAGGATTTCTGAGAAGCGGTTGTTGGGTTTAAACTGTCGATCTTTTAGTCAGCAGTCCAGTGCTTATCGTATAGCGCCATACCAGGAATCTATCTATCTATATATATAAACTAATACAATCACATGAAAATGAAGCTTTGAAACCAAGTCTGAGCTTGAACAGACCGCTGATGAAATACATATTGAAGGCTTTGCTAAAGTGTTAGATTAATGTTCAAACTAATATGACCACTCTTCTATATTCCAATTGCACAAATCAATAAGTACACTTCAAAACATGATCCTTGGTTGTTCACCAGGACTTTTTTTATTAATGATCCTATTTCCTTATGAAAAATGACTTTACTCATCATATTTACTGTGTTCTGAAGTTTTCTTGTGTTAAGGAGTATGACGAACACAAAGCCCCTGTGATACAAAGAATGCAACAGTACAAAAATGCCAATGTATACATTTTAACATAAAAAAGAACCCCAAGTCTGAAAATAAACCAAAGCTAGCCATACTACTGATGCATAGTCATAACTTTTAAGATGTTGTTAATTTAAGTATACCACTCCCTATTGTAGTCACAATAATCTTAAACCAGAAAAAATATCAGAATACTTCACAAAATAAATCTCTAAGATTTTATTAGAATGTGCCATTTTTCTTTTCTTCTCTGTGAACACCCACATGAATTGCTTAATGTGTCAGAGGTTCCCAAAACTACCCCCAAGTTCAATGATTCACCAGGAGGACTCATAGCTTTGAGTTATTATAGTGATAGGATACAAAACAGACTAGAAAAGGGAAAAGGTACATGGGATGAAGTCCAGGAAAAACCAGGCAAAAGCTTTCAGAGTCCTTTCCCAGGGAGTCACACAGGATGCACTTAAATCTTCCAGCAACAAGTTGACAACACGTGTGAATGTTGTCTATCCAAGCAGCTCATTAAAAACACAGGGCACAGGATTTTTACAGGGGGCTAGTCATGTCCTGGTGTGGCGCTGTGGGTTAATGTGCCAGACTGCAAAGCCGTTTGAACTGCAAGGTCTGCGGTTCAAGCTCACCAGCCGCTCCTCGGAAATCCTGTACAGGGTCGCTATGGGACGGAACCAACTCAATGGCACATAACAACAACAACAGTCATGTAAATACCCTCTAACAGACACCAAAACTGCAGACTCCCAGAAAAAAAGCAACTCTTCAGTAGAACCCACACAATTAGCCACTCTTACCAGTTAGTGTGATGGGAACAATCTTGAGATCTAAGTTCCTAGATACCAGTCAAAGTAAGCAGGCCTTTCAAAGTCAGGCTTGTTGTGTTAAAACTTTAATATTTAGAGGGCTCTTTCAGTATTATTAGCAGAATACCTATAAATACCCAGGGCACATCTGATTAGAAATACAAAAATAAGTAATTGATGTTCACTTAGCATTAACAATTTGGACATGAAGTTATAATGTCATGTTTATAAAGATAATTTTCTTCAGCTAATATTTTAGGGATACAAGAGGAAACTTCTTTTTGTTGTTCACGCCACTTCAGTATATTCTCTGCCAGTTCTTCTGTCTCAGTTACCAAAATATCCATCTTTGCTAAAGCCTTGCTCTGTGATATTTGAAGAGGAAAAAAATAGGAGAGAAATTACTTGCCTGTCATTAATTCTTCATTGTAGCACAAATAATTATGATACCCAAATTAACAATGGAACTTTTTCCAGCCCCCTAATGCAAAGACTCTGTAAGATCCTCTCCCACTTACAATCACACACCTTCTCTAGATGAGTTCATCTCTTTTGTCTTCAATTAATACCTCAATGTAAATGACTCTGAAATCTACATGGTCAAACCTAACCCTAATTCAGTCCCACATTTTAGTCCATTGCAACTTTCCATCTGGTCAGTCAATAAGATCTCAAACTCAATTTAACTGCAGTACAACAAACATTGACTGGGTATTTACTATGTTGTTGTTGTTAAGTGCCGTCGAGTCGGTTCCGACCCATAGCGACCCTGAAAAGATCTTTACTATAGCTGCAAGTAAAAAAAAAAAACCACAATAAACTTGTTAACTTCTTTGACCCATACTTACTTATTCCTTTGTTATTAAGTGCCATCAAGTCAGTTCCGACTCATAACGACCCGTTTAGGGTTTCTGAGGAGCAAGAGGGTGGATTGGAACTGCTGACTTTGTGCTTTGAAGTCCAGTGCTGATCCTACAGCACCACGCCAGAAGTCCATACTTGATCCTATTCCCCCTGAAGTCACCAAGGCTAGAAACTTTACTATACTAAATGTGTCCTGTCCAAACAGTAGCCAACATCTAGAAATTGTACCTTCAGAATCTCTCTAAAACCTACAGAATCCTTTGTCTTTCCATGCTTGATATCTTTTGTTTGAATAACCACAATTATCCTCCAAGTTTCTCTGCCTTCTCTTCTAACCCAGAGCTTCTCTCAATGTGCATAGGATTCACCTGAAGATCTTGTTAGCCTAGGCCTAGGGTAAATAAAATCTGCAATTCTCCACTCCCAAGAAGCTCCCAGGAGATGGCTGATACTTTGTGCCCACACTGAGTAGCGAGGCTCATTAAGACTTTTGTTCACGTCATTACCCCACTGTGCCCTTCACTTAAAAAAACAAAACATTCAGTACGTCCCTAACACTCAGAGATGGAGTTTAAACTCCTTACTTTGGTTTTCAAGGCATTCCATAAACTAACTCTGAGCTAATCTCCCCTCCTTTAAATAGGAAGTGGTAGCCAAGTGGAGTATAAATAACTCTTCCCAAACAACTGTGCTATATCGTGTCTTTATTCACATTGTTGCTTTTTTCTGAACTATTTTTCTCATGCATATTCAAGTCTTCAAAATTAACCTCACCACTCACAGACCTCTAAAACTACTGACTTCTTCCTACCTTCCTGTCCTACTCCCAATGCTCTTAAGTTGAAAGTCACCTCTCCCTTCTCTGTGTTCAACAGATAGCATCTTCTGTATAATTAATTTTCTGCTATATTTATTATGGAGTCCTGATGTGGCACTGTATGACAATGAGCTGGATAGCAAGATCGGTTTGAACCTCAAGGTCAGTGGTTCAAACTCACCAGTCGCTTCTTAGAAACCCTATACAGGGTCGCTGTGAGTCAGAATCTACTCAACGGCAATTAACAACAACATTATGAGCTGGTATTAAAAATCAAGATGCCTTTCTTTCTTACATAATTTTTCTTTAGAAATCATTTTACATACTTTTATTTAAAAAGTTAATAATTATGTGTTATATTCATTGTGTAAGAGGCAATCTCTGTCCTGAAAAGCATAAAATGTTCAGTGAGACAGCTATAGAATACATATTTTCTACTTTATATTATTGTATTTGTATAATAATTATGTTGTTGTTATTGTTGTTGTTAAGTGCCACGGAGTCGGTTCCAACTCATAGCGACCCTGTCTAGGATTTCCGAGGCGTGGCTGGTGAGATTGAACCGCTAACTTTGCAGTCCAGCACATTAACCCGCAGCACCACACCAGGACTCACTCAGCTCAGAATATTTACCACTAAAATGTTAAGCAAGGACATCATGGCAACCGAAAATAGGGTTTCCTAGGCTGTAAATCTTTACAGGAACAGAAAGTCAAAAGTGACTTTTTTCCTGTGGTGTGGCTGAATGTCTGAACTGCTGACCTGGCAGTTAGCAGTCCAGTGTTTATACTACAGTCACCAGGGTTCCTCAACAGTGAAGACAGACAGCTAAAAATATGTGAAAGTAATTGATAAGATGCTATCACAGGCAGCCCCTGGGATACAGCTGAGATCTGTTTCTGTGTCTTTAACAATTTGGAAATAGTTGAAAAAAGGTATATACTTAAGTGCAAGAAAAGGCTCAGAACCTTTTCAATGATTTAAAAGCTACACATGTAGCAAGTGAAGGTGACTGCGATGAAGAATTGACTGTGAGTTTTTCAATGATTTTGAAGTGAAGGCAAATTTAATAACGTAAAAGTACAAGCAGGAGTTGTCCATCAGTCAGACTTTTGTAACCTAGGACTATCTGCATCAACACTTACCAGGTTCTTTAGATTTGCATCTAAATGGGGGATATTTCTAATTGTTTCAAGATGACTTTCTAATTTCTCAATGAAATTCACTGCCAACTCCAGCAAATGTACCATGTATCTGGAAAAGGGGGTAAAAAATAAATAATTATTTGCGCTCTCCTTCTTTACTTTTGAGACAAGATAATTAAAATCAAGTCAATAACAATCTTTCCGTTTTTTTAAAAATTAGATTGTATTTTACTTAAATGAAAATCTGCCCCCTCAACAGAAGTAGGAATCAAATAGTGTCCTAGACTAGCCAATAACATTCTCGCTACACTCATGGGAATATTAGCAATAAAATGGTCCTTCCCGTTCACTTTAAGCAGGATTCAATTTGTCAACCAAATAGAGAACTAGAAAGAGACAACACTAACCTTAGCTGGATTCTAATGTTAGACAATCTCAATACTAGACAAATTACTTATGTAAGTGAAGGGTCTTTCCTAGATAAAATCTTATTCCATTTCAATCTACTCTTTCTCAGTGAACAGTGAGGCATAGAGGGACCAATGTACTTCATAGAAACAGTCTACACATAAAATTATGTCAAATTTTTGCATTTGCAAAATGCTTTAAAAGCATTACTCAATTCTACTTAGATGGTAGTACAATGGCAGTGTACTGCTATGAATATGAAGGAGCCCTGAAGGTGCTATAGTATAGGGTAAGTATTGGATTGCAGTTTAGCAGTTCAAACCCACCAGCCACTCCATGGGGAAAGGATGAGGCTGTCTGCTGTCATAAAGATTTATAGTCCTCAGAAACCCTATATAGGGTTGCTATGACTCAGAATATACTCATTGGCAGTGGGTTTGGGTTTAAGTACTAAATACAAGAATGGGATTTTGTACATTATTTTATTTTACTACAAAGTATATAAGACTCTCATACTTAAAAGAAGACACAGAAACAATCAATAAATAAGGAGGATTCAGATGCAGACAGTGCAGACCCAGTCAGGAGGCCAAGCCCCTGTGGGCCCAAGCGTTGTTGACCATCCAAACCATAGGCTCTGAGGATCAGACTCTAGCTACCTAGTAGACATAGCAAACTGTCCCTCATCTGATTATTCAGTAATGCTTGTTAGTAATCTCATACATGAGCCCTGGATATCCACAGACAAATGTAAAAACCTTCCCTAAAAGCCGAGACTGTAAATTCCAAAAAGGCAAGTCCGCCCCCCCCCCCATCCAAAAAAAAAAGCTAAAGAGGATAGAGAGAAACACTGTAAACTGATGATATATGGAGGGGATAATAATCAATGTAATGAAACAAGCTATATGAATGGTTGCATGTGAAGCTGATGATGTGCCCTGTAAACTTTCACTCAATCCAAAATAAAAACGTTTAAAAAAAAAAAAAAAAAAAAAAAGAAGACACAGATTTGCTCAGGGTTAGCTAGTGAGGGAGGGGTGGAGAAAGCAAGGTCCTAAATGCCAAATGCCTGCTTCCTTCATTTTATTAGCAATAACCTACATCTTCAATGTGATAGTTGCAATACTCCTCTGAAGAAGACAAGAGCAATAGAAATCATCTCCATTCTATGGATTGGGAACCAAGGTAAAGTTTGTCAATCGACCAAGGCTTTAAGGCACAGAAACAGCAGGCGAGACCAGACCCAGTTTTTCTCTACCTTAGTTGACATTATTTTCAACTGTCCCTGTTTAAACCCATACCCATCCATGCCATTCCCCAAAGAACTTTTATGTAGGTGTATAACCCACCACAGCAATGAAGTCAATTCTCTCATAGTGACCCTACACAGGGTTTCAGAGCCTGTGTCATGGATTGAATTGTGTTGCCCCCAAATATGTGTCAGCTTGTTTGGGCCATAATTCTCAGTAATTTGACAGTTATGATGATCTCCCATGATGTGGTCTGATGCGATGTAAACCTGTAAGATAAATCAATAAACCCATAATCCCATCATGACCCTTATCCAATGTAAGGGTGACTCCCAGGGGTGTGGCATGCAACACCTTTTAACTTATGAGATAAAAGGAGAGAGAAGTGAGCAGAGAGGGGGAACCACTACCACCAAGAAAGGTGAGCCTGGGCTAGAGTTGGTCCTTTGGAACTGGATCCCTGCACTGCGACGCTCCTAGATCCATGGATAGACTATTATTGTTAAAATACATGGAGATCTCTAAGAAACGCTGAGCCTACAGATGCTGAAAGCAAACTAGGGCCTTTTATCAAAGCTGGTGCTCTAGATTTGGACTTCTAGTCTCCCAAACTATGAAAGAATACATTTCTGTTTGTTAAAACCATCCATTTGTGGTATTTCTGTTCTAGCAGCATTAGATAACTAAGGCAGCTTGTAAATCTTTATAGGAGCAAAAAGTCTCATTCTCCTCAGAGTGGCTGGTGCATTGGAACCACCAACCTTGCAGTTAGCAGTCCAGTGCTTATCATACAGCGACACCAGAACTCATTATATACAAGTATGTTGTTGTTGTTAAGTGCTGTTAAGCTGATTCTGACTGAGATTGGCCCTGTATATGGTTCCAAGGATTAGCTAGTCGGTTTGAACCACCAAGCGTGCAGTTAATAGTCCACTGCTTATTCAACAGGGCCACTAGCAACACTGACTCAAGGATAAATTTACTTCATGGAAAAGTCCATATAAAATAAAAACATTTTTGAGAGAACAAACTAGATGGTAGATTGGGTAAGAATGCAGTGAGGAGCTCCATCAGCAATAAACAGAATACAGAACCAAGCAGGCTCAGGGGATGGTCCCAGAACTCTGAACCACATATAAAGGAATATTTAGAAGGTTGGAAGGCTTACAGCTCCAGGGGAATTTGTAATAGAAGCAAGAAATCCATTGCTTTCTAATTCAAGACGCTCAGCTGCTCCTGGAGCTGCCATATTGGATGATATCAAGTGGGGGAAGGATCAGAGCAGGCACGGACACCTGACAGAACCATGGAGATAAAGGTGTGGACAGTCTTTTTTTCCTATCTGTTCATTGGTCTCTCACTGTCTGCACACCTCCATTCTGGTGACTAGATGGGGTGCCTGAGTCAGTGGACATCCCACCCCCACACCCCAAGGATTCTATTATGCATGCACACAGAGCTCCTCAAAATTTAAAGTGACAGTTTCCACTTTAAACCAAACAGCAGCGCAAAACGGCCACAGCTGGCCCTGAACTGTTTATCGCTAGGAAAAAGGCCTGAACGGGGATTCTGGATCAGGACAGGCAGACTATAAAGGAAACAGGTCGAAAATTAAATCCTGAGATACATCACAATGACCAACAGTGGCATCTTGAAATGTCTCAGGAAGAAGAGTGAAAAGAGAAGCCCATATCTCCTGATCACATCTACCTGGAGGCAATCAGAAAACATAAGAAATATAAAGTATTAATGTCACAAATAACTCATGAAAATGACCAAAAAACAGAAACAGATGACCATATCAGCACATGTTCAGAAACAAGATAAAGTGATTGAAACAAATGAGTTGGAAGTAGACCTACACTCCATACTGGAAGGACATTTTGGAAATGCCTGAAAGGAATTCAGAAAAGAGATTATAAAATATATCAAAACACTATAAAATGGAGTTGAGAAAAATAAGGAAGAAGTCAGGAAAGCGCTACAGGAACAATCAAATAAGATAGATACAGCATTGGAAACAATTAAAAACCTACAGAAAGAGGTCCAAACGACTAATAATAGAATATCAGAAATGGACAATACACTAAAAGGGCAAAGGAATAGAACTGAAGAGATAGAAGCCAGAACTAGTGAGCTGGAAGATAAATCTCTCAACACTACTAAGATAGAAGAACAAACACAAAAAAGGATTAAAAAAATCTGAAGAAGGTCTAAGATTCATGCTGGACAACATGAAGAGGAATAACTTAAGAATTATCGGCATTCCAGAACAGGAAGAATCACACAAGTCCACAGAGGAGATAGTTGAAGAGCTTCTGGAAGAAAATTTCCCTGACATACTGAAAAGCAAAAAGATACGCATTCAAGAAGCTCAACGAACCCCAGGAAGGATAAACCCTAAAAGACAATCACCAAGACATATAATAATCAAGCTCTCCAAAATCAAAGATAAGGACAGAATCCTGAAAGCACCTACGGAAAAGAGAAGTGTAACATACAAAGGCAAGCAAATTAGATTAAGCTCAGCTCTCTCAACAGGAAAGAAGGCAATGGGGAGACATATATAAAACCCTAAAAGAAAAAAAAAAAAACTGCCAACCAAGAATCCTCTACCCAGCAAAGCTGTCAATCAAATACAATGGTGTAATCAAAATATTCCAGTATAAACAGAAGCTAAGGGATTTTGCTAAAGCCAACCCTACTTTGAAAAACATTCTAAAGGAAGTTCTGTGGACAGAGAACCAACAAGAACAGATAACAACCAGAGAATGACGTATGTGGCAGCCTTCACCCTGAACTCAGTCAACAAATGGAAGAGTCAAGAATAGATTAAGAGTGATTAACTGCAGTCTAGGAGCGGAGGTCTCTGGGACCACCAAGGGAGAAAAGCGGAGAGTGGGACCCTACCCAGAGAAGCAGTGACGCCAGAGTCGAAGGCGGAGATGATAATGTGGAGCGATGGAGCGGCTGGGGACTTTAGACTCAGAGAGGGAGAGGAGCTGTGTGCTGACGACCGGGGGACAGACTTGTAGGGTGTACCCTTTCGTTGGCTGATGATGCATGGAGGGGATTATAAACATGGCAAGGAAACGATATACGACAGGATGAATGTAAAGCTAATGCTCTCCCATGTAAACTATCACATAATTCACAATAAAACAACAAAAAAGAACAGAATAAAATCACAAGAACAGAAGATCTGGGAGGTCAGTCTACGATCAAAACAATTACAATGTGAAAGAAGGTAAACACAGAGAAACATAGATCCAGGTGGTGGGAAGGTCAGTTAGATTACAGGATAAAGTAGACTGTCTTAGATGGAGGGAAGAGTTAATGGAATATAAGATAACCACAACAGTGGGGTTGGGGTGGGGGCTTTAGTTCAGGTATTGGGGAGGGCAATACAAGAAGAAGAAGGAGGAGGTGGAAGAACAAGATAGATAGGAGAACACTGAGACAGGTTTGCATGCCCTAAGTGGGACAGAGGTAAATAGTGATGCAGGCTCAACCTTGGAACAACAGGGCTCTGGGCTACAGGGATCTAGGCACAGCTTGAAGAGGGAAAATAAAATGCTTGACTGGCTTGTGAATATTTGTTTCCCTTGCCTACTATTGTAAAATAGACACTTGAGTGGGATAGAAAGGAATGTCGGGAAACATGATTAGAGAAAATTTGCAAGCCTGTCTTCAGCCTTTAACTGATTGGAATATCTAAAAGGGGTTCTACAACTTGCCCAGTGAAATCGGCCTCTTGTAAAGCCTTTGCAGAGTATAGGACCTTAGGTGAGCCCCATCTAGAACCTTCTGAGGTGGGACATTACCACTAGCAAGGACAAGCAGACCAGCCTGGAGCAGCTTGGGCAACAGAAGATACATCTTCAAAGAAAGATCATCAGGAAAAACCCAAAACAAAAATGTCAGCATGACTGGCTACTACAAGAATAAGCAAGCTGTTCGCTGGAAAGCCATCAAGGCAAGCAATCAAGTTCCTTCAGGACAAACTGCCCTCTACGACCGAAACTCAAAGGGAACACACAAACAAGCATGTAAGCTTGCTGGTGACCACAATGGTCCACTGGTGAGTGGAAGAAGGGGTAAGGCAGCAATGAAGAAATGGGCTGAGTTCAACCACAGTTCACTGTCTCCCATTTACTTGGAGATGAGAGAGAGAAGAGGAAGGGCTGGTTGGTCCAAAGTGTGGTGAGACCTGAGGACACCTGAGTCCATGGACAAGGTCATAGTTACGGAGGGCTAGAACTGAGAGTGAAGCATCCAGCTGATCTGAAGTGAGGGGAGATGCACAAGCACACCCAAACTTGCAGATAGTACCCTTTTGACCTAGCCTCGATGGCTTGATAATCAGAACTCGACTAGAGGAAGATTACAGAAAAAAAAATTCTTTTTTTATGAAGGAAACAAGGGCAAATTGCTACAATTTGATGAACCTGACCTATACTCATGAAGGTAACAACTCTAAATACTAACAGAGAAGGAAGGAGTCTTCACATCAAGTATCAAAGCCATCCCCTCTGTACACAGGGTAGATAAGGACAGGCAACTTAGACATTGGCAACCTAAAATTAGGGGGTGATAAAGGCACAAAGTAACTGGCTTACAAGGTTTCAAGAGGGAGTTTAATTTAAGAGTGTGTGGGGGAAGAAGAGTCCCCAGTGAATAGTTTTCATCCTGTCTAGATGGGTCTGGTTAAAAGAGATGGGGATAAGATTCGTATGATTCAGTAGTGAATAATTGTTATCATGACCAACTGCAACTGTCACAATTGTAAAGATAGAAGTTTTGTAACAAAAACAGGGGAATGGTTAATCTTGCAGTCCAGAAACAGAGGACCCTAGGACCATCAAGGGAGAAGAGCACAAGCAGAATGCGGGACCTTATCTGGAGAAGCAGCGACGCCAGAGATGGAGGCAGAGATGGGGACATGGAGAGAGGGAGCAGCTGAGGACTTTAGATTCATGGGAGGAGAGGGACTGAGAGCTGGTGGCCAGGAGGCTGACTTGCAGAATGTGCCCTTTAGAGGTGTAATTCATTATATATGCTTGATTTTTTTTTTTTAATAGCTAAAGTGAATAGAGAGAAATACTGTTAACTGATGGTACATGGAGGAGAGTATAATCATTGAAAGGAAACAAGTTGCATGATTTGTTGAATGTAAAACTGATGATCTGCCCTGTAAACTTTCACTCAATCCACAATAAAAACCTTAAAAATATAAAAAATATACAAAAATAAAAACATTTTTTACTTTGCTGCATGTGTGGACCTAATTCCTTTCCTAAGGTCATGATTTTAAATTTTCCAGAAAACAATGGCCAAAAGCAATTCCTTTCTCTTCACCATAGCTATAATTGTTTCAAAGCAAAGGATTTTCTTTCTGGTTTAATGAATCAGCATTAATAATTATGTAAACAGATACAATGACTGACATATTGTTTAGTAAAACTATTACTAAGTAACTACTCATCTAAATAAAAACACAAATTATGTTAATTACTAAAACAAACAAAAACCATCTTCAGAGTATAAGTGTAAATCTCTTCCTTTTTATTTCTCAGTCTTACTTGTGATAAACAGCTTCAATAGGCAAGTTTTCCAGGCATATGGGTTTCAGAAGTCTCTGCCTGAGGGACCTCTTCTCTTTTAGCACTGCTTCCAAATGATTATTCATACTTTGCAGGATGTGACATTTCTCAGCTACACAAACCAAAAATAGGAAGTATAAATAGCAATACAAGTAAATTTTGGAATCACAGATAATTTCTTCTTTGCTCTGGTTTAATACTGCCTATGCCAAATCCACCATTTCCCTCTTAATTCTTCCTTTTGCTGTTTTTGATACCAATACCAGTTTCAATGTCAATGACTTTCATTAATTTTCCTACTGACAACCAAATCCTGTGCTAAAATCTTTCTCTGTGTTTCTTAGCTGTACTCCCAGAGTCCATTTAATCACAGCAATATGTCTTCTCATTTCTTGAATACTGCTTAGTTGGGCATTCATTGTGGGTCCAAATAAAACGAAGTTCTTGAAAACTTCAGTCTTCTCTCCGATAATCATGATGTTGTTTGTTGGTCCCATTGTGAGGATTTTTGTCTTATGTCAAGGTATAATTTATACTGAAGATGGTAGTCTTTGATATTCATCAGTAAATGCTTCATGTTCTCTTCACTTTCAGCAAGCAAGGTTACATCATTTGCATACTGGTGGTGGTGGTTGTATGCTATGGAGTTGATTATGACTCATAGTGACCCTACATAGTGTTCCCAAGGCTGTAAATCTTTATAGAAACAGAAAGCCTCATCTTTCTCCTGTGGAACTGGTAAATTCAAACTACTAACCTTGCAGTTAGTGGTCCAGCTTGTAATCCACTGTACTACCAAGGCTCCTTCCTTGCAGGATATTAAAGAGTTTACCTCCAATCCTGATGTCACTTCTTCTTCAGATAGTCCTGCTTCTTGGATAATTTACTCAGCATATAGACTGAATAAATATGGTGACAGTACAAAGCCCTGGCATACACCTTTCCTGATTTTAAACAACTCATTATCCCCTAACTCTGAACGAATGCCGCTTGGTCTTTGTACAGGTTCCACATGAGCACAATTAAGTGTTCTAGAATTCTCATTCTTCACAATGTTATCCATAATTTATGATCCACATAGTTGAATGCCTTGGCATAGTCAATAAAACATAGGTAAACAACTTCTATTCTATGCTGTAGCAGATCCATCTGACAACATTAATGATATCTTTAGTTGTATATATTTGGAATTTGGCTTGAATTTTGGCAGTTCTCTTTTGATATACTGCTGCAATGGTTTAATTATCTTCATCAAAACTTTACTTTCATGTAATTATTAATGATATTGCTTGATGATTTTTACATTCTGTTGGATAACAATTTTTTTGGAATAGGCACAAATATAGATCTCTTTCAAACAGTTGGCCAGGAAGCTATAAATGAGTGAGAACTTCCAGCATAGCGTACGTTTGTTGAACATCTCAACTGGTATTCCATCAATTCCTGGAGCCATGTTTATCGCTAGTGCCTTCAGTGCAGCTTGGAATTCTTCATTCCTAATACCACTTCTTGATCATATGCTAACTCCTAAAATGGTTGAACATCGACCAATTCTTTTTGGCACTGCGACTAAGTATTGCATCCATCTTTCTTGATCCTTTTCTGCATCGTTATCTTGCCCATGTTTTTATTGTTAGGTATCACTGAGTTGGTTGTGACTCATGACCTGTATAGGGTTTCCAAGGCTGTAAATTTTTACATGAGCCAAAAGCCTCATCTTTCTCCTGTAGAGAAGATGGTGAGTTTAAACTGCCGACTTTGTGGCTAGCAGTCTAGTGCTTATTCTGCCCACTGTTAAGTGTATTGTTGTTGTTGTTATGTGCCGTCGAGTTGGTTCCGACCCATAGGGACCAACTCGAGATTTGGTTTGATTTACAAGGCTGTAAATCTTTACGGGAGCAGAAAGCCTCATCTTTCTCCCGTGGAACAGCTGGTAGTTTCGAACTGCTGATCTTAAAGTTTGCAGCCCAATTAGTAACCATTACGCTACCAGAGCTCCTTGTTAAGTGCTGTAGTCAGTTCCAAATCATAGTGACCTTGTATCAGGTTTCCAAAGAGCTGCTGGTGTGTTTAAACCACTGACCTTGCAGTTCAAACTGACCTTGTGGTCCAGTGCACTTTCCTGCCACATACCACACCAGGACTCTTAATCTTGCCCATGTTGTTTTTATTGTTAAGTGCCGTTGAGTTGGTTCCGACTCATAGAGACCCTATATAGGATTTCCCAGGAGTGGTCTGAACCACCAACCTTGTGGTTCAAACTGATCTTGTGGTCTAGTGTGTTTATCCCACAGCACCACACCAGAATCCTTCAATATTGAAACTCAAGGTTTAAATTTTTTTCTCTAGTTCTTTCAGCTTGAGCAGTGCCAAGCATGTTCTTCTCTTTGGGCTTTCAAACTCTAGATTTTTGCACATTCCATGTTCATAAACTGGAAGATTTTAAATTGTTAAAATGCCAATGCTATTCAAAGTGATCCACAGATTAAATGCAATTCCAATTAAAATTTCATCAGCCTTTACAGAAATAGAAAAACCAATCCTCAACTTTATGTGGAAAGACAAAAGGCCCAAATACCTAAAATGATGCTGAAAGAGGTGAAAAAAATAGGACTGTTAAGCCCCCACCTCCTTTGTGTTGTTGTTAGATGCCATCGACCATCGAGTCTGTACTGACCCACAGTGATCTTATGCACAACACAATGAAATACTGCCCGGTCCTGGGCAGTGTTGTATTTCATGACATATCTTGATATGTTCTTTTTGATGATGAATGCAATGCCAATTATCTTCAATTTGTCATTCCCAGCATAATAAACCATGTGACTGTCAGATTCAAAATGGCCAACACCAGTCCGTTTCAGCTCACTAATGCCTAGGATATCTACGTTTATGAGTTCCATTTCATTTTTGACAATTTCCAATTTTTCTAGATTCATACTTTGTACATTCCATGTTCTGACCATTAATGGATGTTTACAGCTGTTTCTCTTCATTTTGAATTACATCCCATCAGCAAATGAAGGTCCCAAGAGCTTTACTCCATTTGTGTCATCACTGTCAACTCTACTTTGAAAAGGCAGCTCTTCCCTGTCGCTTTTTGAGTGCCTTCCAACCGGAGGAGCTCATTTTCTGGCACTATATCCAATAGCGTTTCACTGCTATTCATAAGGTTTTCAGTGAGTAAATATTCATAAGCAGCCCATCTCTCCTTTCTAGCCTGTCTTCATGTGGAAGCTCATGTGAAACCTGTCCACCGTGGGTGACCCTGCTAGTATTTGAAATATCTGTGGCATAGCTTCCAGAATCATAGCAACACACAAGCTACCACACAGTATAACAAACTGGCAGACGAATAAATGTTGACCTCTAAACATTTACTTGCTCCACTCATACACTAGCATGTATCAAGACTTTATTTCTCCTACTGGCTGTATGAATGGATCACATTTTGTTTATCCATTCATTTGTTGATGGTGTCCAGGTTGTTTCTACCTTTTGCTATTGAAATAGGGCTATAATAAACATTGGTGTATGCTTCTGTTTAAGTCTCTGCTTTTAATCCTTTTGGGTATATACCTAGGAATGGATTGGCTAAGTCAGATAGTTTTATTTTTTATTTTCTTGAGGATAATCCCCCACTCCAGTTTCCCACAATGACAGTTACCATTTTGCATTCCAAATAATAAGGGTTCCAATTTCCTCACACCCTGATATTAGCAATTTTCTCTTTTTTTTAAAATCTCAAGTCATCCTACTGGGAGTGTAATCTCTCCTTGTGGTTTCGATTTGCATCTCTCTGATGGCAAATGACATCAAATTTCTTTTCATGTTTGGTAGTCATTTGAACGTCCTCTTTGTCTTTTTGTCCATTTTTATTTGTTTTTGTTGTTGTTGTTAAGTACCATGGAGTAGGTTCCGACTCATAGCGACCCTGCACAGGGTTTCTGAGGCTGTAAATCTTTATGGGAGCAGAAAGCCTCCTTTTTCTCCCTCAGAACAGCTCGTAGTTTCAAACTGCCAACCTTGAGGTTAGCAGCCCGATTCGTAACCACTAAGCTACCAGAGCTCCTTGGTGGGTTTTTGTTGTTGTTGTTAAGTTGTTAAAATTTTATATATTTTTGGTTATTGATAGTTGTTGGACATACGTTTTCTGATACATACGTTTTCTGAAGATGGTCTCCCAGTCAGCTGCTTGTCTTTTCACTTTTTTGGTAAAGTCTTCCAATGAACAAATATTTTTTATTTTATCTATTTAAAAAATTATTTTAATCATTTGATGTTTGTGTTTTTGTTATTAGATAATCTGTTGTTGAAAGTTAGGCTTGACAAGTGTTGCCCCTACTTGTTCTTCCTTAATACATTTTGAATTTGTTTCTATGTATTATGTGAGGCAAGGATCCATTTTAATTTTTCAGCATACAGATATCTAATTTTTCCACCATCATTTATTGAAGAGAATCTTCTTTTTCAATCAAATGGACATAACACACTTGTCAAAAATCAGTTAATCATAGATGTGTGGGTTTATTTCTGGACTCTCAATTTTATTTGTCTATTGTTATGCCTTGGAAATCCTGTGCAGGGTCACCATGAGTCAGAACTGACTCCACCACGGTACTTGACAACAACATACCTGTACCAGGCCATTTGTTTGTTTGGTTTTGAAATTTTTCACTGTGAAATGAGTGAAGGTTTACAGAGCAAATAATCAGTTTTATATGCAACAAATCACACACTTTGTTTCATCTCAATAATCGCACTCCCCTCCACGGAACAATTTACCCCACTTCCTCCCTGCACTTTGTATTTCTATTCCACCCACCTTCTCAACTCCTCTGATCCTTGTCACTAGGTAAGTGTTGTTTATATCATGAATGGTTGACCATCCCATGGAGCATACCTCACTAATGTTGTTTTCTGTACTATATACCTATCCACCATTTGGCTGAAAATTGGACAAGGATGAGTTCCATTCCAGAGCTGAAGGGTGGCTGAGGGTCATAGTCTCAGGTTCCTCCAGTCTCTTTCTCACCAGTTAAGTGCAGTCTTTTTTATTTTGTAAACAATTTTGAGCTTTGTTCCACATTGTTCCCCACTCTATCTGGGATCTTCTAAAATGATCCTTTTCAGAGCAGTTGTGTACAGGGCTGTTTTGATTACTATATATATAGCGTTGTTGCAGTCAAGTTAGTTACAGCAATCCTGTAGAGGGTTCTTGAGGAGTGCCTGGTGGGTCTACCATAGACCTTGCGATTCACAATCCAATTCTTATCCTACAGCACCATACCAGGACTCCTGTGTAGTATCTGGATTTGTTGTTAAGTACCATCCAGTTGGATCCAACTCATAGCAACCTTATATATAGGGTTTCCAAGGAGTGACTAGTGGGTTTGAACTGTCAACCTTTTGGTTAGTAGACCAGTGCTTACCCTACAGCAGGAAGTATAAGTCCTCCTTCTTTGTTTCTCTCTTTCAGCATTCTTTTTAGCTATTTGGAGCTTCTTGCCTTTCCAAGTTGAGGACTGCAATGAATCTACAGATTGCTTTTACTAGTATTAACTTCCTAACAATATTAAGTCTACCAAGCCATGAACATGTTTTCATTTACTAATGTGTTCTATAGTTTCCATTGTATAAATCCTTCTAGGTATTTTATTCTTGTAGATGCAATTATCAATTAAATTGTTCCCCTGATTTCCCTTTCAAATTTCTCATTGCTGGTGTATGGAAACCCAACTGGTTTTTGTTTGTTGATCTTGTACCCTGCAATTTTGATAAATTCCTCTATTAACTCTAGATGTTTTCTTATGGACTCTTTGGACCAACATTCTTTAGTACTTTGCTCTTTTCATGTAACAATATACCCTGGAAATCATTCTGTATGAGTTCATAAGAACCTTCCTCATGCTATAGAGTATGTGTGTAATGTTACTAAAGTTTATTCAACCAATTTCCTAAGCACTAGCATTTATGTTGTCGCCAATATTTCCAATCACAAATAATGCAGAAATTTATAAAGTTGTGCATATATAATTTTATATTATCAAGGTATCTCTTCAGGGTTATTTCCTAGGAATAGGATTGCTAATTCAAAGGACAAATGCAACTGCCTACAACATGAATACAGAAATTGCCCATTATACCCCTCTTTGTTCCAGTAAGTTACAAGTTTTCACTATACATTCTCTATTATAACAATACTAACTGCCTCCTATCCATTCCTTAGGTTCTCCTGGCTGTACAGAGTTCCCAACTTGTTCACTTTTCATGCTCTTTGCACTAGTCAAGATTACAGAATTTTAATTTAAGCACAGAAATAGGAGACTTTGTTAGCCTTTGGGCAATACCTAGACAAACTATGGCATATCATAATTTTGCTGACTTGTTGCTTACATAAGGTAACCCAAGAAAAATCTTAAATCCCAGTGATTACCCACTTGACCAAACCACTTACCTAAAAAGAAAGGATGAATAACATCTGCTGTATCTTTTTCTAGTTTTAAGAGTTCAATTTCCAAGTTTTTCTATATTAGGAACAAAAGTAGTATTTAGTTCATTCAGAAAGTAGACTGAAGAAAAGGCTTAGTTTTTTATAAAAATGAACAGCCTTTAACCCAGGAATCTAAAAGGTGTGGGAAGGTGATTTTTATGAGAGTCCAGCAGATTTATTAAACCTTTTCATTCTGGTGTTCAAACCCTGCGGCTGCTACTGCTATTAACTTCTGTTACTATTATTACTATTATTATCACTACAAATAAATAACCTGTTCAAGCTATGTGCCAGACACTGAAGTACAAGAACTGCTGATGTTAGAACCAATTTTGAGTTTTTCTGTACTAGAATTAGAAAATAAAAAGTCCAACATAATTTACCTGGTAGATTTCAGCTTGAGTATTTGTGATCTTCTGTACTCTGGAGAAGTTCACAAAGCAAGAAGGTGATTTCTTAGGTATATTTAACATCTCCTATTGGTAAAAGAACAGAGAAGGCGGTGGTACGTCACAAAGTTTTTGTATGCATTGAAACAGCATGTTAATGGGTTTACAATATGAGACATAAATTTGTATTATGTCCAACAGTGTTCTTGAACATGAAGTACAGAGTAAAACAGTAGCAATGTACATTTCTTGTTTTTAAAACCTTTACCATCACAAATCACTTGTCCAAATATTTAAAAAATAAAAACAAGACTTGATGACTTTGTATTACTGTCTAATGTCTTTGGACCATACATAATAGATCTGCATTACTGATTTTTATAGAGGATTCTAATGCTGAATTTGTTGGGAGAATTTTCTCTATACTTTCAAATGACCCAGACTCAGTCTTTCTGATCTTTCTGGGGTTAAAAGCACTTTTTCCCTCCATGGAGTCATTTCAATGATTCACTAAATAACCTCTACGGGTTACAAGTCATTCATACTACCTCTGTTTATATCTCTAATCTCTTAGAGGAATGTTTGAATCCAAGACTAATTACTCTTCTCAAAAGAATAATGTTTAATGTTTACATTTTTAAATCCATTTTTTAGCTAAGAACATGTAAGAGAAGCTGGAGAGAAAATAAGAAGGTTCAAGAAAGGGATAGCTAAAAAGAGAGAAAAGAGCAAGGTGCTAAATTCCTTATTAAACAGAAATTCTACTAGAAGATTGTGGCTATCCCTATACTTTCTAAAAAAAAATCTGCAATTGGGGAGTACTGACGTTTTACCTTTCACTAGTGCTCTGGTAGCGTAGTGGTTACGAATCGGGCTGCGAACCTTAAGGTCAGCGGTTCGAAACTACCAGCCGCTCCGCGGGAGAAAGATGAGGCTTTCTACTCCCGTAAAGATTTACACCCTCGGAAACCCTGTACAGGGTCGCTATGGGTCGGAACCGACTCGACGGCACTTAACAACAACAACAAGTGCCATTATTATGTGGAGGCTTTTTAAAGTGTGTAGAAAAATTCTATTATCTTTCAATCCATTTCGCCCCTAACTCTTTGAAGCTGCTTCATATGTTATATACTTTACATTCCACTGGGACAAAGGGATAATGAAAATGAAAGGATCCTAAGGAAATGGTGTCTTTATAGGGTGTTTCTGTTTTCTCTGCTGCTAGGCACAGCAGCCTGAAATTCAGGACCTTTACATGCAATGGCACTTAACAACTAGAGTCCCTGGGTTGTGCAAGAGATTACTGTGCTCAACGGCTAACTGAGATTTCAGAGATTGGAGTCTACCCAGTGATGCCTCAGACCAAATTCCTGGTGATCTACTACTAACAATCTGCCACCGAAAACCAAATGGAGCACAGTTCTACTCTGATCCAGGAGTCAAAATCAACTCAACAGTCACTGGGTTTTAGTGGCTCAGTGGTTAAGCACTCGCCTGCTAAACAAAAAGTTTACAGTTCAAACACACCAGTGGCTCCACAGGAGAAAAGAGCTTTCATCTGCTCAGCTAAAGATTACTTTGAACCACAAGGTTGGTGGTTCGAGCCTAAAAGCTGCTACGAGAAACATGAGGCTTTCTGCTCTCACAAATATTTACAGCCTCAGAAATCCTATACAGGGTTGCTATATATCGGGAAGGAGATCTGCTAATCCTGCAGCACCACACCAGGGCTCCTAGGCAAAGAACTGTTATTAAATGTCTTTGAGTCAGTTCCAACTCAAAGCAACCCTGTATAGGGCTTCTGAGAGGCAGCTGGTGAGTGTGAATCGCTGAAACCGACCTTGCAGTCCAGTGCCTTAGACGGCAGTGCTAAACCGAGACTCCAGCAAAAGGCCTATAAGGTGAATAACAACATCAGGGAAGTAAGCACTCAGAACAATCAACCATTCAAGATCAAAAGGGTAGCATTTACCTAGGAATAAAGCTCTAAAGGCAAGAAAAGATAAGAAAGAATGGTAAGCACAGGAAATGGGAAGAATACAGCTACACTGTGGGGTTTACATCAATGTCACAAAACAAAATGTGTATGAAGTGCTGAATGGAAAACAAATCTGCTCTGTAAACTTTCACCCAAATCAGAATATAAATAAATAAGATGCCTCCCTCTCCCTGCACTTTACTGTATCTAAGCTTTTCCTCCCCAATATGTTTCAATACTTCCTAAAACACGAGCATTGTTTGAGATTAACTATCTACCATACTACCTTGCCCAGGCGTCCACCACACCACATGCACAGGGGATATCACTGGATGAAAAAAGTGGGGAAACACTGCTCTATTTTACCTCCCACCTATTGCACACGCAAAAAAAAAAAAAAAAGTCTGCTGGAAGCACCATCTACTCCAGAGCCTACTTTCGAAAAGCCCCCATCAGAAGGGTTACTGTTGTAGCCTAAGAGAGGGCTCCATTCACCTTTAGTACAGTTCAGTCTCCTTTTAAACAACATAAAAGACAACTACACAAAAGGACCTCACCAGATGGAATACACAGAAATCAAATTGACTACATCTTCGGAAAGAGATGGTGGAAAAGCTCCACATCAGCCAAAACAAGGCCAGGGGCAGACTGTGGAACAGACCATCAATTGCTCAGATGTAAATTCAAGCTGACGCTGAAGGAAATGAAAACAAGTCTCTGAGAGCCAAAACATGACCTTGAACAGATCCCATCTGAATTTAGAGATCATCTGAAGAAAAGATTTGATACATTAGGCACTAAAGTCCGAAGACCAGAGGAGATGTGGGATGACATCAAGAACATCATACAGGAAGAAGGCAGAAGATCACTGAGAAGACAAGAGAGAAGGAAAAGACCAAAGTGGATGTCAGAAGATACTCTGAAACTTGCTCTCCAACATACAGATGCTAAAGCAAATGAGTGAGTGAAGAAGTGAGGAGGTACAAGAGTTGAACAGAAAATGTCAAAGGTCAGCTCAACAAGACAAAGTCAAATATTATAACAAAATGTGCAAAGACCTGGAGTTAGAAAAACCAGAAGGGAAGAAAACACTCAGCATTTCTCAAGCTGAGGGAAGTGAAGAAAAAATTCAAACCTCGACTTATGGCATTGAAGGATTCTCTGGGCAAAATATTGAATGATGACAAACGCATCAAAAGAAGATGTAATACAGAGTCACTGTACCAAAAGAAAATGGTTAATGTTCAACCATTTCAAAAGACAGCATATGACCTAGAGCTGATGATACTGAAAGATGGTACACTGAAGGCACTGGCAAAGAACAAGATACCAGGAATTGATGGAATAAAAATGGAAATCTTTCAACAAACTGATGCGGCACTAGTGGCACTCACTTATCAATGCCAAGAAATTTAGAAGACAACTACCTGGCCAACGGACTAGAACATATCCATATTTGTGCCCATTCCAAAGAGAGGTGTTACAATGGAATGTGGAAATCATCAGACAGTATCACTGATATCCCATGCAAGTAAAGTTTTACTAAAGGTAATACAGAAATGGATACAACCATTCATTGACAGAGAACCTCCAGAGGTTCAAGCCAGATTCAGAAGAGGCCGTGGAACAGGGTTATGATTGTTGATGTCAAATGGATCTTGGCTGAAAGCACAGAATACCAGAAAGATGTTTACCTTGCTTTATTGACTACACAAAGGCTTCTCATTGTGTGGATCATGACAAGCTATGGACAACATTGCAAAGTATAAGTATTCTGGAACACTTAATTGTGCTCATGAGGAACCTGTACATAGACCAAGAGGAAGTTGTTCGAACACAACCAGGGAACGCCAAATAGATCAAAATTAGGAAAGGTGTGTGCCATGATTGTATTCTTTCACCATACTTACTCAATCTGTATGTTGGACAAATTATCTGAGAAGCTGGATTATATGAAGAAAAACGTGGCATCAGGATTGGAGGAAGACTCATTAACATCCTGCGATTTTCAGATGATACAACCTTGCTTGCTGGAAACAAAGAGGACTTAAAATACTTACTGATGAAGATCAAAGACCACAGTCCGGTATGGGTTGCATCTCAATGTAAAGAAAACCAAAATCCTCACCACTGGGCCAATAAACAACATCCATATAAATGGAAAAAAAATTGAAGTTGTAAAGGACTTCATTTTGCTTGGATTCACTATCAACACTTAGGAAAGCAGCAGTCAAGAAATCAAACGATGTATTGCATTGAGCAAATCTGCTGCACCAGACCTCTTTAAAGTGTTGAAGAGCAAAGATGTCAGTTTGAGGACTAAGGTGCACATAATCTAAGACAAAGTATTTTCAATAACCTCATATGCATGCAAAAGTTGGATAGTGCATAAGGAAGACTGTAGAAGAATTGATGCATTTTAGGTATGGTGTTGGAGGAGAATACTGAAAGTACCATATACATTCAGAGTGCTCCTTGGAAGCCAGGATGGCCAGACTCCATAGCTCTTACTTCGGACATATTGCAAGAGGGACCAGTCACTGGAAAAGGATATCATGTTTGATAAGGTGGAGGGTCGAAGAAAAAGAGGAAGACCCCAGCGAGATGGATTGGCCATGTGGCAACATCAATGGACTCAAGCGTGGCAACAACGGTGAGGTTCGCCCAGGACCGGGCAGTGTTTCATTCTGTTGTATATAAGGTCGCTATGCGTCGGTACCGACTCGATGGCACCTGACAATAAGTCTCCTTCGCTCACATTCCCTCCACATCACAGCCGCCTGTGTCGTCACCGTGGGTACCCCCTTGACGACGCCATACCCTTCCCACGTACCTGTGTGACCAGACCTGAAGTTACGAAATGGCCCAACAGTAGTCCAGCAGCGTTTGGCGTCGAAGCCGGGTCCCAAGGGTTGGCGGTAGGCATGGTTCGGACTCACCACCAGCGGTGGCTCGGAGGAAGAACCGAAAGCCACGAAAGAGCGGCGCGGCTTGATGACGTCTCAGGGCGTTTACTCCCAAGCGGAAGCCAGAAGAGCGCATCCCAGGCGAGCGTGGGATCTGGGTCTTCCTCTGCGAAGCGGTCTGAACTAAGGGGTAGGAAGCAATTCCAGGGCTCGTGGTCCTCCATGAGCTTCCAAGGGCGCCTGGCCTCGAAAGTTTCGCAAAAGCAACCCATCTGATGGTCGGGCTGCCTTCCTTCCCTTTTGTCCTCGCCACTCCCGGACTGGCCCCGAGGATTGGCGGGAGGTGGTAGCCGGAGTGTGTGATCCCTCCGGAAGGCCAACGGACCAGACGGTGACAGTTGCGCTTCCTTCCCTCAGGGACCTGAACCTCGGCAATAGGATGGGAAACAGTGCCCTCCGCGCTCATGTGGAAACCGCGCAGAAAACAGGAGTCTTTCAGCTCAAGGACCGTGGGCTGACTGAGGTGAGACTGGGATGAGAACGACCAGAAAAATTAAGGGGAAAGGGACTGCGAGGGCGATAAAAGTAATTTGTGAGGGGTTGTCCACACTGTGAATCCCTTTCTCCAGTTCCCTTTAGAGTTGCAGAAGCTGACGAGCAACCTCAGGACCATCGATTTGTCCAACAACAAGATCGAGAGCTTACCGCCTATGCTGATTGGGAAGTTCACTCTGCTGAAGAGCCTCTCGCTGAACAACAACAAACTGAGTATGGCATCTGCGCCTGGGAAGCTTTTGCTAGTGATCAGCTGTTAAGAAGGGTGGTTTTCTCTTACAAGCTGATTTTATTGTTGCTATAAAACCGTTCAGAGGGCTCAAGATGCAGGAGAATGTCAGAGTCCTGGAAGCTTTCTCAATCTCTAATTGCATTTACAAACCTCCTCGGGTGGTATGATTGGTACTGGGTCAAGTTGGACTTGAGAGGGAAGACCAATATCTGGGATATAATGTAAACATATACCTAATTTGGAAGGGGGGATAGAATGGGAAAATGAGGACCTTCTAAAATCCTACAAAATTGCTGTTGGATTGTGCCACGGCCCCCTTTACAAAGGAGTCCCTTATACACAAATGCTTTCCTACATTTCCTACACCCTCACTTCTGAAGGCTGCGTTAGGCAAATACCATACTTAAAAATGGCACATGTGGGAATTCCACATATTTTAAAACAAAAGATGAAACTTTAAAAACTTCAGCAAGGTGTTTTTGAGCTATATTAGATTCAGGTTTTAAAAAATTTTCTTTGCCAGCTTTTCTGCCTGATGAGTTATGCAATCTGAAAAAACTAGAGATGCTAAGCCTAAACAACAACCACCTGACAGAACTACCATCTACCTTTGGGCAACTCTCTGCTCTCAAGACCCTGAGCCTCTCTGGGAACCAACTCCGAACATTGCCACCCCAACTTTGTAGCCTACGGCATCTTGATGTGATGGATCTCTCTAAGAATCAGATTCGGAGTATACCCGACACGGTGGGGGAGCTGCAGGTCATCGAACTCAACCTCAACCAGAACCAGGTCTAGAGCTTAAGGGCTTTTCCTAAAGCATGTGTGGGTTTATGATCTGAGTCACTCCTTGTTCCCTACGCTGTAATCATGGAGAGCTGGATGCGAGGAGTACTTCATGGGCTGCTGCACTAATGCTGAAGCCCAAAGTGCCATGTAGTTAGTAGGGATGCTAAGTGTGTGCTCACTGTGTAGGTATTTTCTGGAAGGAGGGATGGATAGCAGGGTGAGCGAATTGCAATAAACCGTAGCCTCACAAATCTGGAAGAGTTCTTTAGATCCTCCGGAAATAAGCCTAGTTAATCTAGCAAGGAGCTGTGTTGCGAAGTTAAAAGTAGAAATTAGAGCTCATAGGCTCTCAGAATTGGGCATCAGAGGTTAGTTCTGTACTTTGCTTTGACACTTTTGTCAAGTGAGTGTTCGGTGTTTGCTTAACAACTCAGTGGTAAGCTTTCTGGAGACAGATCCTTTTATTATTGAACAGCTTTAATATTTCAATATTTCAAATTTGTTTTAATTACTTTGGATGTGCTTTTGTTAATATGAAGCTGCCTGGAAAAATAATCTTTGATCTAGGCATAAGACAAAATTGATGAAACATTAAGTTTAGTGAGACAGTGACCTTGAGCTTATTGAAATAAAATTAAATAAAAAACTCAGTTTCTCAAACTAGCCATATTTCAAGTGCTTAATAGCCACATGTAACTGGTGGCTGCTGTATTATATAGCACAGATAAAGAACATTTCCATCATTGTAAAAAGTTTCATTGGCCAACACTGTTCTAGAATGTAAGAGAGAGTTATCTGTATCATTCTGTATCCAGATTGGGGAATTTAAAAATTAAAGTTTTTCAGCAATATGTTCATCTACTTTAGATGGAGACACATTGTAAACTACAAAATATGACTACTGCATACTAAAACCTTGCAGGATCATATTTTTTTAAAGAAATGGTTTCCCTAAAATGTCTATTTTTATTTAATGATCCTAATTTTTAAAAAATGTTTTATTGTGAATTATATGATTAGTTTAACATTCATCGTATCATACATCGTTTCATTGCCATGGTTACAATCCCCTCCATGCATCATCAACCAACCACAGGATATTCCCTGTAAGCCTGCCCCTGGTAGTCAGCACACAGCCCCCTTCCCTCTCTGTGTCTAAAGCACCCAGCCACTCCATCTCTCCATGTCATCATCTCTGCCTCCATCTCTGGCATCAGTGCTTCTCTGCGTAGGGCCCTGCTCTCCACTCTTCTCCCTTGATGGACCCAGGGACCTCCCCTCCTAGCTACAAAACATCTACCTTTACACTTCTAACCCTCACAGTCAGTCCTGATAACAATTACTCACTATTGTTATCACAAGAGACCTATCCCCATTTCCTTTCATCAGCCCCACCTAGACAGACTGGATACTACTCAGTGGAGATTCTACCTTCCTCCAGGCCCCCTGGCTCTAGATTCCCTCTTGAAAGCTTATAAGCCAGTCACTTCTTGCCTTTGTAGCCCCCATTCCCCCCATTTTGGGTAGCCACTGTCCAAGTTGCCCATCCCTGTCTACTCTGTGTATGGAGGGGGTGGGGATGATCCTTGCTGTAAAGATTTGTTCCCCCTTTTGAGCTACTGCATCCATAGGTGTGGGTCAAGTTCATCAAATTTTATCAGATTACTCTTTTCATCTAATTCTAGTTGCCTAATTTATTTTTGAGAAAAGGAAAGTATAAGTAACCTGCAGTGGCCTTACATTATGATAAAATTTAGTCATTCTTTAAGATTGTTTGCTTTTCTCTAGAGACTGTTCTTGAGGTTTCTGGAGAAATTGTGATTCATTTAAGCAATAATATAGGGTCACTGTGAGTAGGAATCATCTGTGATACATGTTAAATAAGCACTTCATATTCAGCTCTACTGATGCCTCAATCAGTGGTTCTCAAGCTTTGATAACAAAGAGGGCTTGTAAAAGAGATGACTTAGGTTCCACCACCCCCCAAATTAGATTCAGTATGTTAGGAGTGGGGTTTGACAAGCTCTCAGAGGGTATTGCTCTAGAAACACACTTCGAGAACCAGACCTAGACTAACATCTTTGATACCAGGCAGAGTCAATAGAATTTGGTGAGGTGCAGCATTTAGAAGACAAAAGAGGTGAATAAATTAAAAAACTTTTTGGCATTGAGCTTGAAGGCCTAAAATAACATTGGTACTATCCATAATGGCTAGGCTATGACAATGAGCTATCCAAACGGGAATTTTTACTAAGGGTTGGAGAAATAGGAGTGAAATGTAGGTGAGTAGATATGAATGTTAATAAAGATTTTTAGGTCATAACAGAAGTGATAGCTATAAAAATGGATGCGCTTTCTAGAAGAAAGTATAGTAAGATCAGATATTAAATATTAGGGACTACTGCTTGAAAAATATCCACCGAAACAAGAAGGGAAGCCATATAGAAAAGATGAGAGAAAAAGGCCAATTAGGCACAAGAGGGAGTTTCAAGGAAGGGATATCGTCAAATGCAACAGAAGATGAAGGCAGACAAGAATCCTTGACTATAGCAATAAAGTGATCAGCATGTGTGTACACAAAATATTGGTAGTGAATGTACCAAAATGTTCATGGTCATTATTGCTGGTTGGTGGGATTACAGGGAACTTTTTTTCTTTAAATTTGCATGGTTTTCTAATTTTTTATAATGTACATGATGCTGTTATCAGAAAGTTTAGTCTCCGAAAATTCACCAGTAGTCTTCATGAAAATAATTTTGGTGTAGTAGTGACAGAGCCAGATAATAGAGGTTTCTAGAATAATAAGGTAATGAGAAAGTAGAGGCAGTAAAAGAAAAGAGAACTAGGGCAAATAGTCAAGTATTTTTTGTTTTAAATGTAAAAAATTCACCATTATGCTGTTCCTTGTTTTTCTTTGTTTTATAGATATCACAGATCTCAGTGAAAATATCTTGCTGTCCTCGTCTCAAAATTCTCCGTCTGGAAGAGAACTGTCTTGAACTCAGCATGCTTCCACAGAGCATCCTTAGTGATTCCCAGATCTGTCTACTTGCTGTAGAAGGCAATCTTTTTGAGATAAAGAAACTTCGAGAACTGGAAGGCTATGATAAGGTATGTATTAGTGCATGGCAGTATTTCTAACCACTGTGCAAGAAAAGTATGGTGATGTAATCCACCTGAACATTAATAGATTATGTTGTTCTTCCCCATTTTGGAGATGGGTTCTAAGAATGAGGCAATGTGCATATATTGTATCAATGATGGGTTTTTTTTCCGTAGAATTTCTTATAAAGCATCTTTTTTTGTGGGCTTATTTTAAAACAAAACTATTTTTTAAACTGTATTTTTAAAATTTGCATTTAAAATGACTAGATTTTATAAGAAATGAAGGGCCATATGCATTAAAACCATTTAAAAATGAAAAAAAAAAAAAAAAAAATTGAAACTTCAGTAACATGTAAGTTTTTATTTGCCCAGGCTGAATAGCAAATATCTATACTTCTTTCATGATTTTAGTACATGGAGAGGTTTACAGCCACCAAGAAGAAGTTTGCATGATGTTCTCCAGGAGCATGGAACCGTAAGAGGATGCTAACTTGGAAACTGTTGGAACCTGGTTGAATCAAAGGCTCCTATCACTGGCAAGGATATATGCAGTTAAAGGAGAAGACACTCCAGGAGATAATTTCACTCAACAATCTAGCCTTTTCAGGGCTTTGGTTATGATAAGAGAAAAAGAATCAAGACATAGGAAAGAGTCCTCCATCTCAAATCATGGGACGGCTGTGGACAATTCTGATCTTTAAAACCATCATATTGATTTGGCTTTAAGAAACCAGAAGGTAGTTGGCTATTTATACAGTGAGGGGGTGCTGCCTAGTAACAAAATAGCTTACACCACAGCTTGAAATTCATTTTTAGTTTCAAAGTGCGAACTTTCATAAAGTCAATTGCCATTAGACCTCTGTGTTAACACTTAATATGTTTATGAAATTCAAATAGTTTGTAAGAATCTGCTATGGTTAATTAAGGACTTATGATTTTATTCTTGTCCATCAGTTCAGTTTCAGTGTTTATCCTTAGAATTTAGGATGTACCTAAATATGTGATTGTCTTGATTAAGTGTCTGCTTTGTTAGAGAAGCATTACAACACTAAGATATGTTCCCCAAGGCTGCAGTAGCAAATGTTTTACTACTGCAGGTGCCTTATTAGTAGAAGTCTCTGGAGAGATAAAACCGCATATGCAAAACTTGTAAGATAAAAGGAATTTTAATAATCAAGATCTTCCTGAATTTTTGTTAGGAATGTCATTTCCCTTTCCTCTTTTTTATTTATAATTCTACTAGTCAGATTACCTATTAAGAAAAATCATTGCTACAATATTTTAAAACAACCTATATTTATCAAGTTCATTTTCTGAATGAGAAAATATGCTAAATAAAGAATTTTTTATTAACTTTGACTGGAACCAAGATTAATCTTTTAAAGGAAGAACACAGGAGAATGTTAACAATAAATGATGCTTTCTTCTTTTAACTTAGAAAGTAAACTGATTAGGAAGCCTTTCATGCCCTTGTTCTAGTGATCTATGAATAGTGAAATGTCTCCATGTGACTGGTGTTGAAACATTTTGTGGTATGTGAACCATGCCATTAAGAATATCTAAAGGTACCCAAGTAGATGATTTCATATTGTCACTGGTCATTCTCTGAAGTTTTCTCCTTGCCAAGGAGTGATTAACCATATAATGATAGTTTTTTACAAACCTAGCTTAGGCATTAAATCAAGAGACCCTAAGAGCCTTGTATTTATTCTATATGAAGAAGTCTCTCCAACCCTAAACCTGATCTAGGTTTTTTCATTTTCCCATATGTTATTTTTCTGTTTCTCGATTTGGGAGAGTGACAAAGGGTGCCAGTTTATCAGAATCACTTGAGGAGTTTAAATTTTGTAAATAAATTTGCTTAGTGCATTAACTTTACCAATCCATTAAACAATGAACATTTCTCTAAATATTTCACCAGTAAATATTTCTCTAGTAAATCAGAAATTAGAAATGTGGTAAAAGAAATATCTCCAATTCATTATTAATTGAAGTTTTAAAGACCTACACCTACCCCTTTGAGAAGCAGTTACTACTACTTTTTGCAATTGGGACCCCGAATTCTTTCAATACCCTTTTCTCCCTCGCATTTGCTTGACCAGCCATACAATTCTGCACCCTAAATTTATAGTAAATTGTCTCCCCTTTCCTTGCTTTTATATTGTTCCCTTAGGAATGCCCTCTCACTTAACATTCTACTTTAGTCTAAGCCCTTTCCCTAAGTCTAAACTGCATTAACTGTTTTCCCATCTAGTACTAGCTCTAGGCTTACATGTTATATTTATCGGTCGCTTGCTAAACTGAGCCCATTGAGAGCAGGGATTATATAAAAGTAATATGCCCAATGTTAATAGTGTACAAATATGAAGTGACAAACTAACCTGATTTTAGAGACCTAGATTCTAGTTTGGCCGTCAGCTCTCAGTTACCTAATTCTTTAGATCTTGGGTTTGGAAGTCAGTGTAGTATACTGAGGAAGAATTTAAGCATTTGCAGGTTTTAATCCAAAACCTTTATGAATCAGCAATCTAACCTCATACATCTCAGGTATGTTGCAAGGATACACTGAAAAGACACATAAAAGCACTCAGCAAATGCAGCCATTTACTTCATGTCCCTAAGATACAGAAGTAGAAACTGGCAAGCTGTGCAGAAATAGAAGGCTTGGAGCAGCATAAAAGAATGACATATAACTAACGGAAGAGGAACCTGAATATCTGAGAAATATGTGATTAGGAATGTAATTGGGATGAACCTAGAATTTTAGTAAGTGAATGATTTTAAAACAGCTTTTAAAGAAATTAATTCTAAATGCAACTAAGTATAAAATGACTGGTAAGCAGAAGTTTAAGGAGCTCTGGTAGTGTAGTGGTTACGAATCGGGCTGAGAACCTCAAGGTTAGCAGTTCAAAACTACCAGCTGTTCCACAGGAGAAGGATGAGGCTTTCTGCTCCTGTAAAAATTTCCAGCTTCAGAAACCCTGTACAGGGTCGCTGTGAGTCAGAACCAACTCCACGGCAAATCACCACCACCAAGCAGAAGTTTACATTAAGGGGAGGGTCATTCAAAATCCACATAAGACATGAAAAGAGCTAGCACTGAAGAGTGTGTGCGTGTGTGTGTGGGGGGGGGGGGGGGGGGGTAGGGAGAATTAAAACTGAAGGAAGAAACAATAGACCCAGCTATGGAGGAGTAAAGATACTGTCATTAAACTACTAGTAACTTGAAGAAGGGACTTACTGATACAAATTGAAAAATGAAGTTCAGGAAGGGATGCTGGTTATTGGTTACAGATTTCCAAGCAGAGTGGCCACAAACATAACACAACTTCTAAATAGTTTGTTTGTAAACTACTTAAAATACTTAAGACTCATACCTGGAATGACTGACGTAGTTTGTAGTTTATGTATAATGAGGATTTGAGCATTGTATTAAGTAAAAATAGCCCAGGTTACTTACGGACAAACATAGTTACTAACCTACTAACCCTAAATAAAGTGTTCTTTAAAAATTGGAGAGATATACAATGAATGGTTCATACTAACAAATGGATGCTACTTTGTGACGTATGAAAAACACTTTTTTATTATTGTTACAAATTAGTGTATCTGGATGTGTTTCTTTTTTATGCATAAGAAGGTACACTATATACTAAATACTAAGGCAAACATATGACTAATTGACCTTAGATATGAATTGTACCTACCTCTCCTGGTGTGGTGCTGTGGGCTAATGCGCCAGACTGCAAAGCCGTTTGCACTGCAAGGTCAGTGGTTCAAAGCTCACCAGCTGCTCCTCAGAAAGCCTATACAGGGTCACTATGGATCAGAATCAACTCGACGGCACTTAACAACAACAACAACAATTCAAACTTAACCATACAAATTTGCCTTAAAGGCAGTTCTAGGACCAGAACTGGTCTGTTACAAATCCAAGGACTGCCTGTAGTAAGATTAGAGAATTAAGCTGAGTGATACTATGTTGAGAAAAAAGGAGACTTGATTATTAGTTTTATTCACATAGTCAAGCTGCTTGGATCCACTCCTGTTCAATAGAACATTTAAAAAACAGCCCTAGCATACGTTTTAGAAGTAATAACACATCTTTATTACTTGGAATTTCATTTCTTTGGAATGTCATAATGAGGAGTGCATATTCCTAGCTTATAAATGCCACCACGTCTTTGACTTTTATACTTCAAAATTAGGTTTGTCTTGCAATTTAGATGACTCTTAACACCTGGAGTCCTGGTGTGGCAATGTGGGCTAATATGTTAGACGCAAGATCAGTTTGAACCACAATGTCAGCAGTTCAAGGTCACCAGCCGCACCTCAGAAACCCTATACAGGGTCACTATGAGTTAGAACCAACTCAACGGCACTTAACAACAAAACACTTGGAAAAGAGGAAGGCATCTAAATATTAATCCAAGAAGAATGACCTGAGGATACTTTACAGTCAATTTACTGTTTGGAAGTAATAGTACTTTTAATATTTAACTTGAACACTTAACTTGAATATTTAACTTGGTCCAGGCACCAATTTAAGTGCCCATAACCACTGGAAAGGTAACAGAAACATAACTCAGAAAGATCAGTATTCTTTCTTAAATTCACACAGCTTGTAAAATTTGAACCCAGGAGGTCAGACTCCAGACCTTTAGTACTGCCTTAAGGAAAGACAAGTTTTCTAAGTAATACTAAGGAGAGAATCAGAAAAACGCTTTACGTCAATAGCTTCTATTTCTACTGCATTATCAACCTACTAAATCCACTTTGTATAAGGTCTTTTTTATCTGTGGCCTCCTCATTCCTCTTCTTCCCAGTAGCAGAAACTTGGGGAAAAAGTTCCTAATATGCCTCCATGATTTTCACTTATGCACTGGTTCAGGTTTGAGTGTCTCTTTTTCTGAGGGGCTATGTTTCTTTCATCAATTCACCAAGGGATCCTTGAGCCAAAAAGAGCTCTACTCTAGGGATAATAGCATTAAACGCTTACATTTACCAGACACTGCTCTAGGTACTTTACATGTATTACCCATGTGGAGTCCTAACAATTCTATAAGGTAGGGATTTTTTATCCCCACTTTACAGACAAAGAAACTGAGGGGCAGCTATAGGTTTATAGTCACTTAGCCATAAGTGACAACTCAAGTATAAATCCAAATCATTGGTGTTTTACTCATGCTTCTAACCAATGCACTATATTGTGGGGCAGCATATTGATATCCTCAGGACTATTTCCTTTAAACAAGACAGTACTAAAAGAAGGTTTTTTCACTGCTTTAGGAAAGGGATTCAGATGTAATACAATCCCCATTATTTTGCACCTTCTTACTTTACACATTAACCATCATCTGCAAACTACTGGTTCTAGCATAGAGCATTTCTTTTACAGAGAGCTTAATTTAGTCTCACTTTAAATAATTTCCTTTTCAGTCTTTGCTTCCCAT